TCTGAATAACATATGGGTTAAAGAAGAAATCAAACGGGAAATCAAAAAATTCCTCAAAACTAACGATGTCAGTACATCATACCAAAACCTGTGGGATACTGCAAAGGCAGTACAAAGAGGAAAGTTTATCGCAATAAATGCTTCCATCAAGAGAATAGAAAGATTTCAAGTAAACAACCTAATTTTATACCTCAAGGAACTAAAAACAACAGGGACAATCTAATCCAAAAGTTAGTAGGCAGAAAGAAATAATTAAAATCAGAGCAGAACTAAAGGAGAGACCAAAAATATAATACAAAAGATCAATGAAACAAAATTTGTTTTTTTGAGAAGAAAAACAAAATAGACGAACCACTAGCCAGACTTACTAAAAGAAAACGGAGAGAGAAGACCCAAATAATAAAAATCAGAAACGAAAAAGGGGATATCACAACTGATACTGTAGAAGTACAAAGAATGATTAGAGATTATTATGAACAACAAACTTGAAAATCTGGAGGGAATGGGTAAATTTCTAGACACATGCAATCTACCAAGATTGAATCAAGAAGACAGAAAAACTGAGCAGACCAATAATGAACAATAAAATTGAAGCAGTAATCAGAGCTCTTCCAAAAAAGAAAAGCCCGGGACCAGGTGGCTTCACTGCTGAATTCCACCAAACCTTTAAAGAGGAATTAATACCAGTTCTTTCCAAACTATTCCAAAAAATTGAAGCAGAAACCATTCTCCCAAACTCATTCTATGAAGCCAGCATCACCCTGATACCAAATCTAGACAAAGACACAACAAAAAAAGAAAACTACAGGCCAATATCCTTGATGAATTTAGATGCTAAAATCCTCAACAAAATACTAACAAACAGAATACAGCAACATATCAAAAAGATTATTCATCATGATCAAGTGGGATTCATCTCAGGAATGCAAGGATGGTCCAGCATATGCAAGTCAATAAATGGGATACACTACGTCAATAAAGTCAAGAACAAAAACCACATGATCTTCTCAATAGATACAGAAAAAGCGTTTGACAAAATTCAGCAGTCCTTCGTGATAAAAACTCTCAACAAATTAGGTATAGAAGGAAGGTATCTCAACAGAATAAAAGCCATATACTATAAACCTACTGTGAATATCATCCTGAATAGGGGAAAGCTTTCCTTAAGATCAGGAACAGGACCAAGATGCCTAAAATTATTTTTAGTGCCTCTTTTTTCTAATAAAATACATGTTGGTTTTATTGGTTGCTTCCTTGTACATTATAAGTGATAACTATTTTTACTCTGGCTATTTGGAAATAACATGAAATTTGTAGACTTTGCAAAATATAAAACATTATATTTTATAAATAAAATTATAATATATATATATAAAACAAGGAACACCCATACACCTGTATCCATAATCACTTATTTGTAATATTTTACCCCATTTGCTTTAACATTTGCTATAAATTTCTTTATTCTATCTACCTAGACTTTTTTCCATCATTTAAGCCTCTTTTTTCTAAACCATTTGAGAAAAAGTTTTATGTATCGAAGACCTTTACTCCTAAATACTTTAATGTTTACTACTTGAGAATTAGGGATACCTTTTACATAACAGCAGTATGTTTTTCAATATCAGCAAATGTAACATCTAAACAATACTTTTACCAAGTCTACTATCTATATTCCAACTATAATGATTATTCTTAATTTTAGTTTTTTACAAACTTGAATTTGAATTGTTTTAAAATATTAATGCAAGTGTTTCCAATGTGTTAAAAGAAATGAATACACTATAATGCAACTTTTATAACACTTTTGTATGTATTTTAAAACATGTCCAAAAATCTTTAAACAGTCATTCTCGTAAATTCTACTTCTATTAATTTCTAAGGAAGTAATAATATTTTCATGTTTTTAGGTTAGAAGAGCACCCATCCCAATGATACTTATAAACATTTAAATTATGAAGTGATTTAAATACTTGTCAGGGAAACAATCTGAAAAACAAAATGTTAACAGTTGTTATCTCTATATAGAGCAATAGAGCATTTTTCTTCATTTTTTCTTTATCTATGATTTCTATACATATATATATATATATGAACAATAGTGAAAATAATATTTATTGAGTGTTTTAAAATATGCATGCAAATTCTAAACCCTTTACATGTATTACACCATGTAATTCTCAAACAACTCTTTAACTAATTTTTATTTATTTGTTTAGGTGAGAAACATTAGGCACAGAGTTATTGAGGAATACAAGTAGAGAGGTAAGCAAAGATTTGAATTAGGATATTCAGCTCCATGCTTTGTGCTTTTAAATCCTATGCTGTAATGAATAAGTGTTGCCTTTGCAACAGGGAAAAAAAACATAAAAATAATCTCATTAGAGCAATGAATTAGAATTATTCCAATATTACAAAACATGAACATAAGGCTTAGTTTAATATTAAGAATGTAATTGTTACTAACAAATAAGATTTGAAATTTCTGATGAAATATAATGATTTAATTTTTTCCATCATATCGGAGAGATCAATTTCAAATAAATTCTGAGAATGAATGGTTTCGATGCTTACAGGCTATTAGTGTTTCAAAGAAAGGGATAAACATTAAAGTGTGTATAGATACATTTGAAAAATAAAATGTACTTTTGAAAGAGAAGTAGCTTTCAATTTTTCACTAAGGTAATACTTCAATAGATTAACTATTGTTAAGAAATTTAAATGAAAAAAAAATTATTGTCATGCCAAAGGAAGATTCTTTTGCTGAGAAAGCAGTCCATGTACCTCCTCCATTCAAGCATAAACATGGCACAATGACCTTAACGCCTGCCTTGTTGTTTAACGTCTGCATAGAGCTCTGAAGTGTGGCAGCCATTAGGACGAGGCAGCAGGAAGAAAAAGATAAAAACGTGGGAGGGCAGAACCTGTACGGTGAATAAATAGGGACTGTTCTGGGCTTCATAATACACATTTTCAACTTAAAATAGTCCATATTCAGATAATATTATCACAGTAGACTTGTAGTATACAATTGTACATGAATATATTTCTTTTTTTCCCCTCCCATCCTGTGTTCTAAAATTGTTTGCTCCACTTTTTATTGGAGTTATTTCTTGTTTTCAGATAGGGTCCTAATCAGAGATTCAGGGGCTCCTCTGCTGCTATCTGCAGCTCTCTCACCACTGTGCAGCTTCCTTCTCTTCAGCACTGGGCCCCATAAACCTTGCTCCGTCAAGTGCTCCTATCTCCTATCTATGTCTCCTTAGAGAGTCCTGTGGATTGATTGAATTGTGTCCCCCAAAGTTCATATATTAGAAGCTTAAAACCCACTGTGACTGTTAAGAGGGTGGGAAATCCTATTATGGCAATTGAAAGGTGGGGCCTTGAAGAGGTGATTAGTTGTAGGACCCTGCAGTAGTGAATGGATTAAAAATGGTTTTCAGGGGCATGGTTCTGAGGGCTTTAAAAGGAGAGCACGTGAGAGTCTCTCTCTCTTTTTACTCTGCCATCACCAAAGAAAATCCACACCAGATGCATTCCCTGGATTTTGGACTTCCCAGACTCTGACACTGTAAGCAATAAATTTTGTTTTCCGATAAATTACCCAGTTCCAGGTATTTTGTTATAAGCAGCAGAAACAGGCTAATGCAGAAAGACTGCTACGATCTTTTTGGGTTTCTCTTCTATACTGCATCCTGAAAACTCCCGCAGGCCAGAAGCTGGCGCAATCGTAGGGCTATGTCCTTTGTGTTTTTCCTCTCTGGGACCACAGTCTTTTGTGGCTGATTGTTCAGTGTCTGAAAATAGTCCTTTCATAGATTTTGTCAGCAAGGACAATTCCCATGGCAGTTAATCCTCCTTGAGTGGAAAATTTTCCTGCCTCCTTCCACAGTCAGCTCTGCTAGTTCTGCCATTTATGTATTACTTAGTTTTCACCATGGCTTCCCTAAGCTTCCAAGAGCCATTTCAGCAGTATGTTAGCACAGCACCTTTGGAATAGTAGCCGAGGTGCTAAATATTGTGTTCTGGGAGAATGCCCCTATCTCAATAATGCCTCTCTTATCCAATTTTATGCTTCTCTTCACTTGGCACTGTCAGAATCCTCTTCCATGTCTACTCAGCTGGCTCCTGCCACTACATGTTTGCTAGGTTGTGAAACGCCTTCTGGATATAGTCCTTTTCTATTGTTTCCAGGACGATCACTTCCCAGCTAGGTGACGAGGTGACTTGCCTAGACACCCTAGTTTTTTGCCTACTGGCAAGGAGGGAAGGAGGTGCCAAATAAGGGAGATGTTTTGCTTTGAGGGCAGAGGCTTCTGCATCATCTTTAAGTAAGAGGGGAGAAATAGTCTTTAATAGAGAAATTAGCCCCTTTTGTGGGTTTGGAGGAGGATTTCAGGATTTTGTAGAGCAACAACTCAGATGCTACCATTATGTGGCCCAGGTTCCCATTCTTTTGTTTCACTCTGGGTGCTGAACTTGGCATTTCTTTGCTACTTTGATGATTACATCTAAACCTAATCCTCAGCCTTTTCTATCCTCTGACTAAAGAAGATGTTGGCAAGGAGGTGTTCTGTCTTTCAAACTTAGCTCTTAATTGACAATTAATCATCACCCTTACCCTTTCACTCACTTTCTCCAAAACAGCATCTGCTCCACCACCGCCAGCTATTAAATTTAATTGTCCTTATAATTATCATTGTTCCAATATTTCCCTATTGACTGATAAATTGCACCACTAGTGCATTTGTTTCCTCCTGTGTATTATCCCAGTTCACCATCAGTGAAAGCTGCAATGCCTTCACCGTGACAGTAAACCGGGGGCTATTCCACCAGTGATCCGTTCAGCTGGCAACGGATTCAGTTCCAATCACATTCTAGATTCTGCAGTCTCAGAGCCATCCTGTTATTGACTGTCCCAAATGAGGTGCTCCAAGAGGTAAACTCTGAGACAGATTGGGTAGAGGAAATGTGTTAGGGTAGGCTTTTGGAATCATTACCTTTAAGGAAATGAGGACAGTAGGATTGGGTAGAGGGAGACACGAGACAGCGATGCATTCACTACAATCCTCAGGACACAGATGGAGCTCTGTAGTGGGGAAGATCCTTCAGAGATTTCTCAAGGTAAGGGAGCTGAGTCTTTATACTGTCACACTGAAAAGTTGTTGGATGATGGCTGCCTCCAGTAAAAGGACAGGACCTGCAGGATTCCCAGTAGCTGGTGGAATCAGTCGGTCTTGAAGAAGGATCTTGGTAGCACAACAGAACATCTACTAACAAATAAATAAATAAAAGGAAGAAAGATGAAGTTGAATAAAAGCAGAGGGAAAAATAGAAAAGAAAAAGAAGAGAAGACAGAAGGAGAAAGCAAGGAAGTAAAGTCTTGTCTATCTACAAAGATCATATCAGGTTGTAAGTAACTTCCACTGAGCACCTGTAATGTTTATAACTCTACACAGGGAATTGAGCAATGATTCAAAATGATTATGTCCTGGCTTCTCCCTGTAATAAGTTCTCAATTCAATGTGATTAGACCAGACAGGTTTTCTAAATCTTAGCACTGTATCAAACACACTAGTACTCCCTTTTTAGACTGTTTATATTAGAAAAAAGTTTAATAGAAGACAAAGTATAAACGATGGTTTGTAAAAAAAGGTAACTGAATGAGAAGAACAAAATTGGAGGACTGATACTGAGTTCAGACTTACAATACAGCTACAGTAATTTAGACAATGTGACATCGGTGAAAGAACAGACATATAGATCGATGAAACAGAAATAGACCTACATAAATAGATAATATAAATCTAAATATTGAAAATGAAAATATATTGTATTAAATATAAATATAAACACTTAAATATATATTAACATATAAATGCATATTTAAATATATAATTTTTAAGGAGAAAGGCAATACAAGGGTGCAAAGACAGTCTTTTCAACAAATGGTACAGGAACAACTGGACATCCACATGGAAATCAATCTAGAACAAACTTTGGACCTTTCAAGAGAATAAATTTAAAATGCATTTCATTTAAATGGACATATATCTGCAATAAAAATCTAAAACTTCTAGAAGATAACACAGGAGAAAATTTAGATGATATTAGGTTTGGGAATTACTTTTTAGATACAACATCAAAAGCACAATCTATTGAAAGAAATAATTGATAAGCTGGACTTTACCAAAATAAAAACTTCTGCTCTGTGAAATACAATGTCATGAGAATAAGAAGACAAGTCACAGAGTGGGAGAAAGTACTTGCAAAAAATATATCCAATAAAGAACCATTGTACAAAATATATAAAGAAACAATAAGAAAACAAACAACCCTATTTAAAAATGGGCAAATGACCTGAACAGTCGCCTCAACAAAGATAAACAGATGTTAAGCCAGCATATGAAAGGACGTTGAACATCAGATGCCATCAGGGAAATGCAAATTAAAACAGAATGAGATACCACTGCATACCTATTAGAGTGTCCAAAATTTGAAACCCTGATGATACCACATGCTGGAGAAAATATAGAGCAACAGGAACTCTCATTCATTGCTGGGGAAATGCAAAAATGGTACAGCCACTTTCGAAGACAGTTTGACAATTTCTTACAAAACTAAACATACTCTTACGTATAATCCAGCAATTACATCCCTTTGTATTTATCCAAAATTATTAAAAATTTATGTCCACATAAAAACCTGCACAGGATATTTAGAGCAATTTTAATCATAATTCTTAAAACATAGAAGATAACAAGATATTCTTCAGTAGGTTAATGGATAAGTAAACTGTGTTGCCTCCAGACAATGGAATATTATTTAGTGCTAAAAATAAAATGAGCTATCAAGGCATAAAAAACAATGAAAGAAACTTAAATGCATTTTACTAAGTGAAAGGAGACCATCTGAAAAGGCTACCTATTCTTTGATTCAAATATATGACATTCTGGAAAAGGCGAAAATGGAGACAGTAAAAATATTAATGGTTGGCATGGGTTAGGGAGATGGGAGGAATGAACAGACAGAGCACAGAGGATTTTTAGGGCAGTGAAACCATTTTGTATGCAGTACAATGGTGGATACATATCATTATAACTTGTCAAAACTCATAGGTTGTACAACACCAGGAGAGAACCCTAATATAAACTATGCACTTTGGGTGATAATGATGTACCAATGTAGATTCATCAACTGTAACAATTGTACTACTCTGGTGGAGGATGTATATAGTGGAGGAGGCTGTGTAAATATGGGGACAGAGGGTGTATGGGGACTCTTTATACTTTCTACTCAAGTAGTGCATTGGCAATCTCAAAGGAGAGTGATTTATTTTGAGAGAAGGTGGGAGCTCCAAAAAGGTCTCACCAGAGGTGAACCCTGAATCAGATCAACAGTTAAAGTTTAGCCAACAGAAAAAGAATACTAGTTTGAAGCTTGAATTTTAGTGCACTTATGCTACCTAAAAGGCTTGAACTAGTCTAGCCTGACAGCAATCAATTTTCTCACACTTGACATAATATTACATAAAAGCTTCATCAAACAGGGAGCAAACATGGGCCGGCCCGGTGGTGCACTCGGTAGAGTGGGGCACTTGGGAGTGCAGCGGCGCTCCCGCCGAGGGTTCGGATCCCATATAGAGACCGGTCCGCTTGCTGGTTGAGCGTGGTGCAGGCACGACACCGAGGGTTGCGATCCTGTTGCCGGTCATGAAAAAAGACAAAAAAAGGAAAAAAAAACACAGGGAGCAAACATAATAAATGATGGGAAATAAGGATGTCTAATGGATGTCTCAGCTTATCCATAGTCATCATGACACTGTATTTTTCATGTTTAAGACAACAGTTAATGGTGCAAACCCAAGGTGCCAAAAAGACCAAAATAAATTGAGGTAATCTAGCATAAACACACCTGTGATTTGGTGTGTAATTGAATTGCAATGATGTATTTTTATAACAACAAAATGTATCTTTCTCATAATATGATGACATTCTATTACTTAGGGCTGTTACATTAAATCTCCCACCAGACAGAACATCACTTAAAATGATTGCATAGCACTGACCAGAACAAGACTTTCAAATTTATGGGTAGCAAGGACATACCTGTGCCTAAAAAGAGAAAAAAAAAAGTGCCTTTATGCTTCAATGGGCACCTCCATGAGTAGTAGTTACATCCACAAGCTCTTTGCCACTTAGTCACTGTAAAGATGTCTTTTCCCCTTGAAAAATTCATTTGATGTCTTTTAAGGTGCCTTTTAATCTTAGACTGTTTTATGATTCATAAAGAATGGCAATATTATCCAGTGACCTGACCCATCTGATGCTTTCCTTCTACTATATCCTGCCAAGCAGTTGCTCACTCAGACCCTACTTGAACACGTCGCTGCTTTCTGAGGAAGGCTCGTTCAAATGTGTTCAGCTGAGATTCTTAAAAATTATTCCCACCATTGTTTCTGGAAATTGTTTGATGCTTTATAGAACAAACTCAAATTTCTCTTCCAAATCACAGGCTGTCAGATATCTAAACACAACTTAGATGATATAATTAACAGAGATTCTGTGCGCCAGACAGGAAAAAAACAAACAAACAAACAAAAACAACAGAATAGGTGCTTTGCTCAGTATGCTTGACCCTGGTTGGCACAGCCAAAATATGAACCTGATCTCATCTAGAGTCCACTTAGTCTTTTCCCCAAGTTATTTCTAACTAATATAAATTAGATGTGTTCTCCTCAACAACATTTTAAGTTGCATGACAAGACACAACTTAGCTTATTTTTCCCCTCAACAACACTGACATTTAAGACAAAATATGTGGAAGAAAAGATTTTCAGATTTTATTAAGGTTTTAAGCATTTATGAAGCATTTAGTGAACATCAATCATGGGTCAGACACTGCATGCCATATACAGGAAATGGATATTGTAATATGTAGAACCTATCCTCAAGGACCCTATGATGTACTGAGAAAGAAAGTGACACAAATGATCTCCGTGTATCAGGTATCTATGCAAAGTGCTATCAGAGCACACACAAAAAACTTGATAATCCTCTCAAGGATGCAGCGAAAGGTATTTCAAAAGAGAAGACACTTAAGTTTAAATCTGAGGAATGAGAATTTGTAAAATGAATGAAAGAGAAAGGGCATTCCAGAAAGAAGCAAGTATGTTGGCAAAACAAAGGCATAAAAAGTGCACCTGCAGCAGAGTGGATATGCTTCAGCCTTACAGAGAATAGTTCATGCAGGAAGTGAAAAGGGACGTGGCTAAGCAGGGAAGGCCAGCCGAATACCACTTGCTTGCATGCTACGCAAATGAAATTTCACATTAGTTTATGGCCATGGGAAACCATTGAAGGGATTTTATCAAAACAGTTACCTTCTGATTATGTGTTTTTAGGAAAGTCACTAATAGCTCGGTGGAAAATAAATGATACTGGAAGAAAATAGTTTAAAAAATCAGAAAATTTAAAAAATAGTACAGATCAAAGGTGGACTGAAAGCAGAAATTAATAGTCAGTATGGAGAGAAAGTCTGAATCTGAGAGGTATCAAAAGATAAGAATCCAATGGACCTGGTGATTGTCTGGATGAAGAGAAGAGAAAGAAAAAAAGGGAAAATGTCTAAGTTACCTCTCTGATTTCTGGCTTCTCTGGGTGATTGGAAGATGGCTTCATTCATTGAAATATGGAATATAGGAGATTACTCCATTTGGAAAAGAAATGTTAAGTGAGTTTTGTACATTTTGGCCTTAAGATGTCGGTGAAAATTGAAAGTAGCAAAGCTTGGTAAGTAGTTAGATGTGTGTGTCTCATATATGCCAGAAGTATCTGCATTAATAAGGAGCAAAAGAAAAATCTATGTGAAAATAAAAGGTGACTGAGAAAACAAACTATTTAAAAAGGCCAACAGAAGAAATGGTAATGGGAACATACTAAGAATTATAGAAAAGTACAGCAGAAATGGGTGAAAGTGGCTTATTTGTATGCATTAAGAACTAATACAGAGGAAGATGGTGGACTAGAGGTGCCCAGGGCACAATGCTGCCACAAAAGAAGATCAAAATGGGGCCAGCACCATGACCAACACAGTCACTGGCACAGATTCTGCAGAGCAGCAGTCACATGGACAGCCTGCTGCTGCCTGTGCCACCACTGCCACAGATAATGCAGCCATGTGGGCAGCAGCCAGTGCTGCTGTTGCTGCTGCTGCCACCACCAGTCAGCCACCACCATTGCGTGCAGACACTGCCATTACACGTGTGGTC